AAGGAAGGGCTGCCACCAGCAGCCTTGCTGCCCTATGTAGCTGCTACTCTATGTAGCAATGAGAGATGAGAGTTGAGTGAATGTGATCCTTTTCTGTGTGTTATATTTTTTTTTATCTTTAATAATATTTATCTCTCCTGTGGATGTAGGTAATTTACCAAACCACATTAAATATTATATGTCAGCGTACTTGGTTTTCTATAAACAAATATTAATACATCACCGATCGGATTTCCCTATACAAAGAACGTAGTTTACTGCTACGTTGGAGTTGGTAACAAAGGTGCTGTTACTGCAAGTTGGAGAGCAACTTTGTGGAAAAATTGATGTGTAAAAACATTGCTACGAAAGTCAGTGTAAGAGATAGGATTAGCCTTAGTAGACAAGCTGGTGATAAGATTCTTAAAGTCACCGTGTAACCTCCAAAATACATACAAGTTGAATTCTACTAATAAGATCGGTTTGCTAGCTGCAGCAAATTTATCAGACAAGGTCTTTGCCTTCTACAAGTAAATGTTGACAAAATCATCATTTTAATGTAAATCTTAAAAGGAACCAAGTAAATGTTGACAAAATCATCATTCTAATGTAAATCTCAAAAGGAACCATGAAGTTGCATAATCGGCGAATCAAAAGCAGAGGCAAGAATTGTTTCTAGCATTCTCCAGATATCATGGAAAGTTACAATCCACAACCAAATACATAACTTTACCATGCCCAATTAATTCGCAAGGCTACCCTTGAACTATTCCGACAATGAGTGCAATACGAGGTGGTCTCTTGTGCATTTATTGTTATGGTCGGTTACAGAATTTCATCAACTACAATCTTAATAACTTCGGAATAAGACTTTTGTTCTTTGTACTCTCTCAAATTCATAATAATATTTGACAATTCCATCAATTTAATCTTTTGCTCTTTTGTATTTGTAGATCAAACAATTTCAAAATGGAAGTGTACAATTTCAACTCACTGATTTATAGATCTAACGAATTCAACATGGAAGTGATGGTACTCATCTATTCTTATAATAGATGCAGAATAATGCATTCCGCGTGAAAAGGTAAGGTTAAGTCCTGTGTATATATAACTATTAAATAATTAAAGAAAGATCCATATTAAAGTTAATACATTTAAAACAAGATAATTAACTTTAGTTTATTTTTAAAATATTTAATATCACTAACTAATTAAGAAATTGAATTTTGATAAAGTTTTATATATAAAGCAGAAATTATCTACTTAGTTAATTTCAAATACTTTAAATTATTTTAATCTTTTAAATAAAATAAATATCAGCATGATAGTGCAAAATAATCCTAAAACCCATGATCCAAAAGTTCAACTACTAATGCTAAAGTGAGATTGCAACATTTTGTTTTGTTTTTTTTTACTTCCACGTATAGTATTTGCGGCACCATAAACAATTGAAGCAATTTTACAACAAATTTGCATAAACTTTAATGGAGGTTGCATTTCTAAATTAATCTTTGGTGTAGATTTGCATCATACTATATATGGAAAGCAAGCATAAAAAAAAAACATGCATTTATTTTCACAAATGTAATTATTCAAAATAAAATATTAATATTTTCAATGATCCAATTATAATATAAAAAACATTTACTAGTCATTTAAAAACTTTCACCCAACCCTTAATTCTTAACAATAAAAACATGAATTTATTCACAGATGTAATTATGAAAACAAAGTCATTTACTAGTCATCCCTTATCCAATGATCCAATTCTTCGAATGCCTAGCCTCAAAGTTACAACAAGTCAGTCATGAATTTTGATGTATTTTCAATTTATATACACTTTTGCAATAATATCTACATGCTTACTTGATTGAATTGTTATTGTCTAGAGGTTCTCAATGGATAATAACATCTAGTTAACAGATACAATAAGTAAACTTAAAGCTTAAATACTTAATACATTATTAAAATTAATACATGCTAAGTTATGTTATCTTCATCATCTCATCATTAACGACCAAACTGATATGAAGAGTCAATACAATCATTTGGTGGATTTGATAACTTTGTATGATTAGCTCTATCATCATCTCCTGACATCTGATGTGGGGTGAGAAAAGGCTTAGGAGGCATTCGTAGGGATTCAACATCCGATTCAAGCATCTCTGCAGCTTTATGCATTGATGGACGATCAACAGGCTTCAACTGTATGCACCACAATGCCACAATAATCATCTTTTTTGTAGTTTTCTTCTCATGTTCTGTGGCATCTTCTTGTACTTCTATGTCTTTGCCTGCACTAACTTGGTCATGAGCCCATGAAGGAAAGTAAATTTGGCTTGAATGATTTGCCAATGCATTTAGGTTCTTCCTTCTTCCTACCATTTCCATCAATAACATCCCAAAACTATAGACATCTGCTTTGTAAGAGACACCTCCAATATTTTTATAAAATAGTTCAGGAGCCATGTATCCTATCGTTCCTCTAGCAGCAGTGAGGGGCACGGTGTTATTATTTGTTGGGTACAATTTGGCTAGTCCAAAATCTGAGATTTTCGGAACAAACTTATCATTAAGAAGAATGTTGTGAGGCTTGATATCAAAATGTAAGATTTGTATATCACAACCTTGATGTAGATATTCAATGCCACGAGCCACTCCAAGAGAAATCTCATATATTTTCTCACTCCTTGGGACGATACCTTGCTTAGAAAAAATATACTTTTCAAGAGACCCATTGGGCATGAACTCATATATAAGAGCACGCTTCGATCCCTCGACAGTGAAGCCTATAAGTTGCACAACATTAACATGGTGAATTCTTCCAATTGTGGCAACTTCGTGGATAAAATCTTGTCCATTGGCTTTTGAGTTGCCCAATAATTTAACTGCTGCAAAACGACCACTACGAAGCTTTCCCTTATACACTGAGCCAAAGCCTCCTTCACCCAACTTGTCTTTAAATCCGTTGGTTATCTTCTTAATCTCTGAGTAAGTGTACCTTATCGGCATGAGATCATTATCATGACTTTGCAAGAATTTTTCAATGTCTTCATACATGGATAAATGTCGTCTTCGCCATTTATAGATCAGTAAAGTTAGGAGACAGAGAAGCCCACATGGAAACAATAGCACATGATATATCACTGTACAGAGACATTACAAGAAAGGTCATAGGTTGAAACATATCAAAACATTTTACAAATACTTCATTGATTTTGGTGACAAATTTATATGTGATTAATTCTTCAATTTCAAAAACTTATCGTCATAGCTCTTAACACTCTAATAAATACCTCATGAAATTAAAAACAAAAAAATATCCATGCAAGTCTATGATACAAACAATAAAGGGAACTACAATAACTTTCAAAATACCTTTATTTATTTATTTATTTATGATAATCAATAGTATTATTAATACCATTCTAGCTATTTAGAAATGGCCGACATAAAAAAAATTGATATTTTTAAAAAATATAATCATTAACGGAAAGGAAAAATAGAAAAGTGTTATCCTAAAAAAAGTAGTAAATGCTCTCAAAATACTCATACTGTGTGCTTTATTATAATATTTTCCATCTAGTGCTTTAAAATCATTGTTAAAAATTGAAAACAAAAGTAGAAAGAATGTGAGATACATTAATTTGTTGCAAAAATAATATAAATTTAACCTAAAGTTAAAACTTGAAATAGTAGAACAATAATTGTTGCGTGCTGATATACATATATTTATTGTTTCACAATAAGATGATAAAAGCAAAGTAAAATACTTACCGATAAAAACAAGCATTTCAATGGAAAACGATATGAGAAAGATTGCTAAATTTGAAGGGTGTATCCGGTAATCACAATAATTATCTGCCAAATAAAAAATGAAAAATAAATAAATAAACAATGATGAGTGATATACCATTCATGTAGTTATTTGACTGTAAGGATAAAAAATCATGATTAAGAATCAATTCATTCAAATTAAAAGCATTATAAATTCATCCTGCTAGACATAAGAAGATTAGAAGCATTATAAATTCATATCTTATTTCATTTAGGTCTTTTAATTAGAGTGGAAGATTAAATTATTTTAAAAGGGTTTTATTTTATCAAAATTTAAGAGATTAGTGACCGCAGAAACATCTCGTACTATAGGTTGATATGTACGTGATTGAAACTTGGATTGAAAGAAAAAATATTTTTCAGGGTATTTTATTTATTTTATTAGAAAAATAAATATTAGTACATTTTTCAGTGTCTTTTATTTGTTTTATTAGGAAAAAAAATATCAGTAATCTTTCTGTAAAATGATATAATTACACAAAATAAATTAACTCACCCCCAATGGTTGGACAAAAGATAGCTGTAATCACCAAGAAAATATGAATCAGCGTGCAAACTCTTGATGATTATTTTTTTATATATAAAAAAAACTCATTGGCGAAGAAAATGCTTAAAGTAAATGTATCTTTTTGTAGAATTGAGCCAGTACATGTAAGACCGTAAAAGTCCTCACCTTCAAAATAAAGTTTAAACAGCTTCCCTACAATTTCAAGAAAAAAGAAAAGGTCAACTGAAGTGAAGAACATTTATTAAAATATAAAATAAACCCTTAGCGCATAAACGGAAACCAAGCCATATAGGAGCATCACATTAGATTATCATTATTGACTTTACTTTCAGAAGATTTCTAGTAACTTCAAAGATCACCATGTAGATTTAAACCCTTGACACATAAAATTTGAAAATATAGCAATAATTTGGTATGCATAATCATAATACAATACTTGAGGTAAGCTGATGATACATATGGAGAGAGAGAATACGTACCCAAATAGTTCTCTATGATATATGGTAAACAATAGTTGTTCTTCATGGTGGCTTCATCAAGGTTGCAGCGGTTCTTTATGCTATAATGACAACAGATAGAGAGCCACGAAAGCTCGAACCCATATACCAAAATATCATGGACATCTGTATACGTCATATTTCTCATATTTTCTGGCACAGGATAAATCAAATTTATACGGCACAAGTCAGGTACATCCTGGATGATGTCCTCACCAACCATGACATAGGAATGACCTTCCATATTGACACAGCTGGGAGAAGAAATACTGCTAGACGAAGAAGAATCATATGTAGTACCACTGCCATTTTTGCAAGAAGAAGCATCCATAATATAATCTGGAGGATTCAGCATTTGATTCTCGCAACATAAAAAAGTTAACACAGAACTGTCTGTCCAATTTATCTTATAATAATAAATGCCGTACTCAGAGCGGAGCCCTTCTTGTGTAAGAGATTGATGAGGGAGGGAGAAGCAATCATCCTTCTGAACAGCAGCATTCACAAGTCGAATTGTGAAGTCACTGTAATTGATTGCCTGGACATAATACTTTTCCATGTTCAAGTATAAAGTTGGACGAGAGTTGTTTTCACAAGCAAGTTCAAAATATTTGTTGCCACAGTTTTTGTGATCGGTATTTAATCGAAAAGGATAGCTAATATTATGGATATTGCCACAAGAAGAAGGAGGGCAGTAATTGCCGGTGTTCCTTGTGGCACTGGAAGTATGGTGCGAGGATAGGATCACTAGAAAAGGGAGGGCTGCATCTGCACCGAAGAGGTGCCTTAATACTCTACTGAACATTGAGAGAGAAACTTTCTTTGGGAAACCAAATAATGTGCTTTGTTACACTTTGCTCAAGAGATATAAATATATTATGAGGACAATGCTCGTCTACAGACTACGTATACCATCTTGGATCAAAACGAAAGGAAATCAATCAATAGCCACAAATTAAAGTCTTCTTGTTATTATCTTGGGCCCATTCTCATTAATTATATTTTTCAAATTTCTAAATGCGATGCCGACGAGCCCATTCAATATTTTTGAAATTTCCAAAATGAGGAGAGTGCCTTGAAGTTTCCAAGTCTGTAAGAGAAAAAAAAAAACGCAAGGAAAGAATGTGGTGCCATTCAATATTTAAATATAAATATAGTAGGAGTAAAGTGGAAATGCAAAACTGTATAAAAACCACGCCGTTTTGCAAAACTCTAAGTGAAAACCACTACGTTTCATTTTTATCTTTAGCCTTTGGAAATGAAAATTCACAATATATATATATATTCTTTTATTCAACATGAAAACTTAAAGGAGGAAATTAACAAACCTCCTCGATTATCAAATCAATTCCTTTGAATTACTCCTTATCAATATAGTATTTTATTTAAACTTTATTTGACCATCTAACACTAAAGAGGCCTAAAACAAATAAATTTAAAAATTTAAAACTAAAACTTTATTTCCAAATTTATTTATACGATAATTAAATAAACTTTTTAATTATATTGGCAAATCGTAATAATACTCCCATAAAGTTGGTCGGACGTTGATTTCACAAGCAAATTTATATTTTCATAATCAGCTTTTATTGCTTTTTCATTTTTAGAAACGCAATAAACCATGTCCCCGTTTTCAATCATTTTATTTAATCTTTATTATGGATATTACCACCAGAAGGAGGGCGGTAATTGTTGCAATTTCTATCGCTGCAA